AATACTTAAGCCTCAATCCACACAATGGGGTATCACTACGATTATGAAACTTCACCAGTGTAAACTACTAAGCGAGACCAACCAATGTGTACCATAAGGCACCAATAAACCAAAAAGACCAACAGAGTAATAAAATAAAACCATGAAACAATTAAATACTTCAATAAAGAGAACAACAATTAATATGAAGCAATTAGGCATGGAAACATTTATGAGCAAAGAGCAATTAAGACATGGAAACAGTTATGAGCAAGTAGCAATTAAGACAAGAAATAGTATAATAGGGAACGGGGAAGGGAAACAGCTAAAAATGGTAATTTGGTGGCGCATAGGTACTTTTCACCGCACCTATACGCCACACACATGGAATTTCACTTAGCAAATAAATCGGATTCCTATTCCCTCAAGTCAAGGTTAGACCAAACACTTACCTCAAGTCAACGGGTAGTTTAAAGCTCAACCACCACTTTACCTCTCGATTCCACTATTAATTCAGTCGTATCTAGTCATAATTAACTCAACAACATCAATAAATACTAAGTAACTCAAGTCCAATGCATAATTATAGGTTTTCTACCATTTTCCCCAAAAAATAAAAATCGACCTCGGGCCCGCTTGGTCAAAACTCGAAGTTCGGACCAAAACCCGATTACCCATTCACCCCCGAGCCCGGATATGCAATTGGTTTTAGAATCCGACCTCAATTTGAGGTCTAATTCCCCAAATTTAGAAATTCCCAAGTTTCACCCAAAAACACCCAATTTCCCAAGAAAATTCTTGTGATGAAATCTTGCAAAAAGATGAGATAGATTGAAAGAGTTGAGTTAGAAATCACTTACCTATGATTTGGAGAAGTTTGAGTCTTTGAAAAATCGCCTAGGGAGGTTTAAGGTTAAAGAGAATTGAAAAATGGGTGAAAATCCCATCTAAGTCCAAACATATCAGGTACAGATGTCGCAATTGCGACTGGAGCTTTGCATTTGCGAAGCTCGCAAATGCGAGAAAGGCATCGCAATTGCGAACCTTCCTAATTTCTGCCACTATCGCAAATGCGACCTTTTGGTCGCAATTGCGAAGTTCCCCCTGCCCTATTGACTTCACAAACACGAACATGCTGGCCCAGCCTATGGATCGCATTTGCGATGAAGGCTCGCAATTGCCATACTGACATGCCTCGCAATTGCGAACTCTGATCTCGCAATTGCGAGATCAGAGGCTATCACCAGAACTGAAACCTGCAACATTTTTTCCCAAGTCAACACTCAGTAGCCTATCCAAAACTCACCCGAACCCTCGGGGCTCTAAACCAAACATGCATACAAGTCTAAAAACATCATACGAACTTGTTCATGCGATCAAATCGCCAAAATAACATCTAGAACTATGAATACAACACCAAAACTCATGAAATTCTCAAAGTAGTTCAAAATTTCTAACTTTTCAACCAAAGGTCCGATTCACGTCAAATTACTTCCGTTTTTCACCAAATTTTACATATAGGGTCTAAATACCATAGCGGACCTATACCGGACTCCGAAACTAAAATACGGGTCCGATACCAACGAGTTCAACCATTATTCAATTTCTAAAAATCCTTATATTTTCCAGCAAGCAATTTTCTTTAAAAGTTCATTTCTCGTGCTAGAGACCTCGGAATTCGATTCCGGGCATACGCCTAAGTCCTATATTTTTCTACGGACCCTCGGGGACAGTCGGAACACGGGTCTGGATCCGTTTTATCCAAAATATTGACCAAAGTCAACTAAAATTGTCTTTTTAAGCCAAAGCTCATTATTTCTTGAATTTTTCACACAAGAGCTTTCCGGTATTGCGCCCGGACTGCGACGCTCGAGGCGAAATAAAAGGAGGTTTTCAAGGCCTCAAAACACGAAAACGAATTTTAAAATAAAAGATGACCTTTTGGGTCATCACATGACTTTTTGTAAATGTATTGGATTTTAAATGCCATAGTACTTTTCTCATTTTTAAAACCTCCCGTTGGCCTTTTGTTGATAAATTCTTGTTGTAGTACCCTATAATTAGGAGTGGCAAACGAGCTGATCGAGTCGAATATAGGCGTGTCAAAAATAGGCAATGCAAAAATAGATAAATTATTCGATCTGACACGTATTTAATACGTATAGAAAATGTGTTAACCGGCGGATAATATGGATATCCATATTGTCCATGGCTTCTTGAATATAATTATTTTTGGGAGAATTCCTAGTCTCCCAAACTTGAAAAATCCCTAATTTGAGTATGTAAAAGCTAAAACAGTTATCCATTTTCTAGGTAGATAATATGATTCTTATCCATATTTGACCCATTTTTAAAAAAATCATTATCCAACCCGTTTTTAGTAGATAATATGAACAATAAAAAAATTCATTTTGTCACCACTACCAATCAACCCCTCGCACAGTGGGCGTAATTTGTTGGATAAGCGTCTGACGTTTCAGTTTGAGGTTCCTCGTTCTTTTCGTCAAGTTAGAAAATGGAAATCTCAACACAGCGACCGTAGAAGAAATGGTCTAAGATTCCATTTATAGCAAAAGCTGAAAACCCACAAACAAGTTCCTCCCTCTCTCTCCC